TGGTGAAATCAATTTTGAAATCGGCACAGTCTTTTGCAGCCTATTCAAGCAAATAAATAATCTTTCCTCTATATAATATTAGCCTTAAATGGGTGTTCGATATTGAAACTATCTAATATGTATATTCGATAGCAAGTTGTATTTGTAGACTTGTTAGGTAAGGAGGTATGAACCTCTTCTCCTCATGTATTTTTAGTTCAGGCAACTAATAAAAAATATTCTGTAGGTTACCAGGAGCAACCGTGTCACTGATGTAGGCGAAGATGTTGTCGCAATTAGCTGCATGGTGGGCGTTCGACCTGGTGTCATCAAGCACAATGTTGGTAAGGAGAGACGCTGGTCGTAGAAGCTCCCGTGGGAAGTAGATACTTCTTACCTGAAATGGTTTAATACTTTGACATAAGTTTATACCAGACCATCTGTATGGCGCGATAGACCTTCAAGTATTTTATGTTATAAATATTAAAAGGTAATAAATTACGTCCTATATAGTCTGGTAAGCCAATAAACATTTAACAGGCAGCTTGGCTTTAGTGGTCTTCCGTCTTTTTCTGTCAAATTGTGTTTACGCTGCTATAAAAAGAGACAGATGAAAACTTAAGTTAAAACGTTCTAATTTTACTGATTTTTTTTATGAATAAGGGAGTGAGTGATCTTCGTAAGCCCTTGGCAATGATTATTAGACTAAATAAAAAAAATGTTTTATCTTAGAAATACGAAATTTGTACGTTTCACTGCATTTAAAGAGCAATAAAATTACATAAATTTTGGTATACTCATAGTAATGCGTAAACGACCGGTCATATTTTTAATGATAAAGAACAGAGTTATAAAATGTTAGCTATGTGTTCCTTTTGCGTCAATTATTTAGTAAATAGGTGCGGAACTGAAGGTCGTGTGTTTCACAATGGGTGAGGTAGCTCTGTAAGTTATACATTCAATTACTTGAACAATAAATTGACCTAAAAACCTTTATATCAATCCAAAAACAGTAATACAAAGTTTGTTATATGAAGCAAGTAATGCATTTGCTACCACTAATAACGGATCATGTACGCCGCTAGGTTTTATCTACCTTTTGAAATATTCAAAAAGATAATTTGTCTTGTCTAAAAGTTACAATAAAGTAAGAAAAGTTTTGAAGGCCCATCGACTTCGTTGGTTGAAGACCTTAAGCGTATACGCCAAGATCGGGCGATGAAGGAAAATACTTAGATAGAGACCAGTAGGTCGGCCCAGGTATCGCTGACAGAGTGGCGGAGGACCTGCTGCAGCACTCGGCAGGAGGTGGCACAGGGCATGGAGCGCTGTAAGTTACTCATTTCGGAGGCCAGGGCACTTTATGGGTCGTAGAGCCGGCGCAGTGAGTGTGTGAGTAGTTATATTTTTAGGTGATTTTGTGCCCAAATTCGTATTCAATCGACAGCTAAACAAAGTTTTTCATACAAAGGTGATCCGGATGAAAGTGTAACTAACAGATTATTTAAGAACTAAAATACAGTGCGCTCCGACCAGTCTTTGAATTGTTTAATGTTTTTTTTTAATTTTGTTTTCTTTGATCTGTGCTGGAGATTTCTATTGATATTTTCCTTCCGTATGAGAAATTGTCATACCTGCATCTACACCACTTACACGTATTACTTTAAGAAACGCCAATATTCATGATATTGTGGCATGGTACTTGACTGACTGCCAATGACTGGTTAAAAATTATTCAGTAACGCCAAATCCTACAGAATGTTCCCCCTTCAAATACCCCTAAATATCGATAGAAAACTAATTAAGTTTTTGTTGTACACTCGGTTAAAAAGGTAATTTCAAATATGCATTTAAAATACATTCAAGTTTCTACTTATTTAGCTGTTCTTTCAATCTTATAAATTTTTGATGTTAGTTGTAGCCACGATTATATTTGGTTTAGTTTGTTGGTTGGGTTCGAGGCTTTATATAAATTGTATTAAATCGTATTTTTAAAAAAAAACCTGAACATCTTGATTAGGAGCCATAACTGCCATTATATTGGTGCAGAGTTATTTTAAAACAATTTTATCTAAGATTCATTGAACGCTGGCAGTTTAGGAAACGGAAATTGAGTTGGTTCTCGAATCCAATTAAATTATTTTCCCTACTACGTAACTTTACTGAGGTAATTAAATGTTCAATAACACGCAATCGAGGCTAGTTATAATTTTATTTGGTTAATTACAACACAAGGACGGTCATACAGGCAGGTGTTATTAAATCGTTAATCTATTTTTTTTTTGCCCGCTATGATGGGTCGGGCAGTCCCAAGGAAACTGGAAAACTTATCAGCGCGTCGTCTCATTTTTAGGCAAATATTGTAAATTCAGGTTATAATTAAATAAATATACCTACTACACAGAAAAAATGTAGGTGGTTGCTTGTTCTAGGCGTTGAAAGAACCTTTTACTTTTTTCTGATTTGAATCACACGTGTTTTTCCAGATCTTATTTAAATAATTGTATGATTTTAATGTACATAATATTTATATTAAAAAAAACTAGTCACTTTTCTATGTGCCGTGGCCGCCAGTCAATAATCTGCTCAGTCACGACTATGTAATTGATATTAATAACAACCTACGCCCAAAGCGTTGTTAATCAAATGGTTTAGACTTATAAATGACCTATTCAAATGGTCATTCAAGGCTACATTGCAAAGATAACAATTGGATTTAAATAGACTTTTTGTACCTGCGCACAACAATTTTGTGCGTATAATTAATTATTTATACAAGATACGAAAGTTGTGGTAACTACAATCAAACATTTATAAGACATACTTGATTGTTATTACATGGAATTTCTTTGTTATATATTTTTACTATCATATTTATATTATTATTACGAAATTAAATCAAAATTATTCGATTGGTTTTTTTTTTTTTTGTTAGGATGACAATTGATGGGCGGCAAAAATTGCCTTAAATAGTTATCTAATTAAGTATTTATTTAACTGTCTGTATATAATAAAAGAATGTAATCAATTGATCCTGAATTACTTGAATGCCGTCGTATAAATTAATTAGCCTTTTTAAATGTACTTTGCACACGTAATAATTTTTTGACCGGAACTAATTTCACATCGTCACATTAACAATTTTCAGTACTTAGGAATTCAGGTTAAACCAAATTATAATCTAACAATATTACTAATTGAATTTTTGTTTAATTTCTATAATTGATTAAAAATTATAAATAAACTAAGAGTACAAAACACCAAAATACCTCTCAATTACCTCGGTGTCTGAAAGGTCAAACAAACAAATTCCTTAACTTAAAAACTAAATAATTAAGAGGAAAATTATAATAATAAAATTACAATCAAAACAAAGACGTAACGATAACTTTAAACAAATACGAAGTTTTTCGGAACAAAAAAAATCTATCAAATTTTAGATAGATAATAATCTATAAACTGAAAACTTTCTTACCAGACGATCAGTTGCCATATCGAATACGAGTATCTTTGGCGGGCATACGCGACGGAAGTCATCAATACTGGTGACTACTCCAGCATCCAGGACCCAAAGGCGATTGCAACGGTCAGCTCTTACACGGTATACGGAGATCAAACCCGTGCAGTTGATGTCTCCTCTACCAGCTGTGTGCCATGACCAGTCAGGGTATGCCTGAAAATTGTAAAATATTATTACGAAAATTTAAGTAACAGAAAGAAAAACCTAAAACATATTTGCCTTAAGACAAAGACTTAATATAGAAAGAAAATTGCTAGACAGATATATAAACGAGTTAGTCCCATTGTAGGGTTACAGAAAACAGATTAAATATACGTAGTCGGTCCCAAAGTTCTGTCATAAATGGAAATAATGATAAAAACAAAAGTACTGATCAGTTTGTATGAGTGATATATCAATTCTTAGTACATTAATTAAGGAAAAAAAAAGCAAAAAATATTCGAAATAACCTCCCTCATTTTTAATACAGGCCCTTAAGCGTCGCGGCCAGCGTCTATCGCAGCACCACCATATTCGTGTCGATTTCAGTCACTGGTTTTTTTAAAGATGACTTCAGATTCTCCAAATTTTCATGAGGTTTATCACAGACCTTCCTCTCTAAGCCCTGTCATAATTTCTGGTCCAAAGGATTAAGGTCCGGACTGGAGGAAGGCCAATCCTCATGTCTAATTAAGACGATGTTTTGACGCTCAAACCAGGCTTTAGTGGTCTTGGCTTTGTATGCAGACGCAGAGTCCTGCTGGAACACGAAGTGATGTCCCGCAAATAGGGTGCTGGACATGTCTTTGACAAGGCGATACAAAACCGTCTCTTGGTACACTGTAGCACTGGTTTTGACCCCTTTTCGAAAAAATTAACCTCAGTTAGCCCGTAATAGGACACTCCCAACCAAACCAACTAATGATGGATGATGTCCATGTTGCACCCTTGGATCTTTATTTTCAGCTTCTTCAGAACTCCTAGCGTACACTGTATAATTCTGTTTATTGTACTTCTCTTCAATATCGAAAAAATTTTCGTCCGTAAAGAGGATACACGGTGTCGGTTTTTCGCGTACCGCTTAAACAACACCCGCGATCTCTTAAGCCTTATTGCTTTTAGACGAGCATTAAGTAAGTGCCCACTCTTTTTTTGTATGCTCGTAGACCAAGATCTTCATTTAAAACCTTTTTTACTGTTTTCCTACTACACCCATCTGCAAATCCATCAACTTCTGTTTTCGGACAGGATTTCTTACTATCCGCGCCTTGATAGCTTTGATTACTGCTGGTGTTCTTGCGGAGCGTGGCCAGCCAGTTTTTTCTTGTCCTCAACACTGGAGACTTCAAGGTACCTATCAATAGTACCGTACATAAACCTAAGCGTTATATTCAAATTTTTGAGCAACTTGAAAATGGTACTCGGCGAGTGTCCACAGCGGTGCAACGCAATAACAACTATTCGGTTTACTTTCAATGTCCACTCCATCGTGAAAAATTACGGAAAGTTATTGTTTTTTGTTTTAAAACAATAATCAAACATTCCAAAAAGAATGCAATAATTTTTTTATAAAATCCTGCTCGAAAGTAGAATAAGTGCTAGTGACAGAACTTTGGGACCAACTACGTACACACAGAAGAGGCTTTAAACTGAATAACAAGGCTATTTAAAAGTTGTGCAACCAGTAAAAGATAATACGAAAGTTTTCAGACAGCTATTCATATATGGTATCAGCATAAACGAAACATCCATTTCCAAGTTAACTGAAGGTAATTTATTTTTTTAGATAACGAGCTTATTTATTGCACTCATAAAATATATTAAATATTGGATGATTTACTTAAATGCTACTAGACTCTGATCGATGGAACGATGTATGATAGGGAAGAGAAGAAAAGATAAAAGAAAGAATACATAATTAAAAAGAATATCTGAGGTAGCAGATTTCACAATGAAAATAAATAAACTTAAGTGGAAATGGGCGGGGCACTTGAAACAGAAAAGTGCAGCAACAAAATATTAAACTGGTACCCAAGGTACAATAAATTCAAAAGAGGATCACAATTTAGAAGGTGGACCAGACCAGATTAAGGATACATGGCAGTATCACTGCTGTTTCCTTCAGTATACAGAGTAGCACAGTTCAGACAGAAATGGCGGGATTTGGAGCAGGCCTTTGGAAAAAAAGGCCACACAGATACCTAGGAAATAATGAGATGATAGAAATATACATGATTTTAAATGTATTTGAAATAAACAAAAGGCTTTTATTATCATTACTTGCTATATATATATACTACAATGCAGTTTTGATTTCCTCCCGTATTTAATAGATTTAGACGGGAGTAACAGCTCGACTCTAAATCTTACCCTAAATACGGGGAGTACTCATGACGCGATGAGAAAGAAAATCTATTGACGAAATTCGACGATGCACGAATTCAAAACTGTACACTTAACCCGCTTACACTTCTTGGGTTACAGGGTTTCATACAATATATATTTTGACGTTTCTGGCGCTCCAGGAAATAGCTGCATATCCATAAGTAAAATTTGCGTGAGTAATAAATATTTAAATACACGTGAACAGGGAATAAATGATTTTAATATGGATGTTACATTGTGATTGAAGTTTGTAATTTATTGGCCACAGATTTGAAATTCAAAAAAAGAAATGAATATTTCATCATACATATAAAGCGATATATATTCACCTTTATCGTGGATCACGTTCAATAAATGCATACAAATAAATCCTACTTACTCAAAAGACAAACGACGCTTTGTACTGAATTTAAATTGTGTGAATAATACAAAGCGGGAAGTACTTGCTGAAATACCCTCTCTCGCCTCATCCACTTCTTACTTATTACTCGTACTTGGCCCTTCTTAAAGATTCCTGGATTTAGTCTAGGTATGTACGACAAGGCCTTGGTACTTGTTACTATTTACCGCTTCTCATTCATCCGTTCCACATGGATAAACCACCTAAGCATTCCCTTTTGTATCCGTCATTACGTCTACTTTTAACCAACACTGCTCGCGTATCTCACTATTACTTATCGTAAACGCAACGTTACACCACACATATAATACTTCTGAATCATTTTCATTCTTTCTCTGTCACACCCACCTTTCTCTCGTATGTTAACGTCGGGTTAAGCACTCCCCTATGTAGGCCAGACGAGCCTCGTTTGAGATTTCTTGGCTACACATAGAGAAATGCTCGCTGTGTTTACTCTATTCCCAGCATCCACTCATCTTTATATATCATGATCATACTTTCTATCTAAATTTAAAATACAGCCGTAATACACGATATTATCCACTTGTTCCCCTTTTCTCCACACATTCCTAATGACACTTCTCTCAAATACCATAGATTTTGTTTTCCCTATGTTTACTTTCATGTTCTAATCCCTCGCTTAACATTTAATGTTTGTATATTTTTTGTATTGTAATGAAGTATAATCTGTGAAGGCAGGAAAATGCCGTTTCCCGCGCATTTTGCACACCACAGCCCATCGAATTAATTCTGGCGCAAAGACAATAGACCAACCAATAAAAAGTCATAGATAGCGCTCTTAATCTGTTAGCGAGACAAAATTCGTTCTCTTTGGCGCGAATATAAAATAGCAATACTGGTCAGTAGCTAAAAATGTCATAAGTAACGTCAAAATTAATCATAGCGATTACCAAGGTCACGTCAATGTAATATTTGCCCTTCACGCTTTCATACAATCTCCCTTGCGTAGAGTCGTGCAATGATATCAAAGTGCGAGGTCATAACCAACAATTAATAACAATTATTAATTATTAGAGTGCTGCTATATGGTAGGCATTTTTTCAACAGGCAAGATTGAGTCCTTCGACAATGTTTAGATTTTGACCAATGTATCAAACATTAGGTATATTTCCACACTCTGTATTAATAATAAATTTCAGCAAAACAAGCTGTTTAGTAATTGACAGTTTGTTAATATCAGGGATTATTTCGACAATTGAAATCTTTAACGAAACTTAAAAACAATAGCTTTTCTCAAAGACTACATTTAATGATTGAACGTGTAACAATGTGAACTAGAACTTTTTTTGTAACCTAGGCCTAAATAAAATCATTAACACGACAACTAGATGGGTCAAGGTCCAAAATTGGCCTAGTTTTCAATGTACGATTCTCATCTCTGGGATCGTAGGTTCGATCCCCGACTCTGCACCAGTGTTTCCGGCATATAAGGTTGATCACCTATTTGCCTATTAGAAATCAAGGAATAGATACAGAAATCTGAGGCTAAGACCATATAGGTTGTAGCACTATTGGTATATATATACATATGTTATTTTATTAAAGGTATAATTTTATTAAATAAATAGTAAATCTACAATAAGTATATTCAAGAAATCCAACGATACACACTTTAAAGCAAGTACAAAAAAGATACGAGAATAGCCACGTGCCTATTTGACACCTTTGATGTGTGCCGAAAAACCGATATTTGGTTAATGGTCAAATTTGTCAAAAACAAGGATAGCAATCTGAATTGCCATAATATATTGAGGCCAACATGAATTGGTACCTAAACCATAATAATATAATCCTGTAGTAATTCTGTTTATATGTATAAAATATATTATATTTTATGGGGTCAACTCGAACATAATTTCTTAAGCCCTTTTTAAGACTTGACAGCTGATATAATTCTCAAACTGGTACCTAACAAGCTAGCAATAAGAAGCAAAAGTAAAACTATTATCAAATATTAAATAAAACTAGTTTGTCAGGCTGCGTACATAATTGTTATCACAAAGCATTAATCCAGCGATGACAGATTAACGAAAACAACACTGGTGCAATTGAGTAATAACCATGTTTGTATGTCAACGAAATTGTTATATAAAGGTTTGGCCACGCGTTTATAACTTTGAAGATGAGTTTCCAAACAAACTTGTCTGGCTTAATATAGAAAATACACAGATTAATACAGAAAACAGATACAGCTATTTAGTTGTGTTTATCTCTTAGAAAAATGTATAATATTGTCTTTGGGGCTGGAGACAAAATCACTTTTCCACAGACCCACTAACGCCAAAAGAATGTGTTGTCTCAAGCCCTTGATATACGTAAGAACTACAAGTTTAAATAAAACTTGGTGGTTATATTTTTCACGAACCGCTTTCACTGATTGGTATTACGCACTCAAAACGTTGGGTTATGTAAATAATGTATAATATATTCTCGTTTATATTCGATATGGAAGTTTTTTAAAAAAGAACATCAACATCATTAGTATCTTATTACTATTAAGCATTATAGCATAATATTATAATAACTGGGGCTTGAGACAAATTGGTGAAAATACTATTGGTGAACAGGTGAGTTGACCTAGCGTGAGTTAACGTCATTTCCATACAAATGCATTTGGTGTTAGTGGGTCACGCCTGAAGCAAAGTGACTTTGTCTCGATGTGTTCTGCCCTGCGATTCTGTAACTCACTTTTCGAACTCACACAGCGACACACACTCTGATAAACAATAAACTACAAGCTCCCACCTTTTCAGAATGCCAAATCATAAAATGACTGCTTCACGACTGATTTGAGAGCGACCGCCGATGCGAAAACCGCTGTGTGAGTTCGAAAAGTGAGTTACAGAATCGCAGGGCAGGACACTAAAATTAGGACATTTCTGTCAAAGTCATATAATTCGAGTCTAAGACAGACTATACATTTATACTACCATAATGTTCTAAGATAATGTTAATGATTTAAAATATCGGTTTGAATTGCTCTTATTACCACGGGTTTGTTTCCGTGGTACGGGTTTGTTTCAACTACAGAAATAGCGTAAATTTTAATTCTATTTGTTTTTATCCGGAAATTTGTATTAAAATCTCATTTTATATTTATGATTTAGGCATAAAGTCATAAGAATTTAATGAGATTTTAATAAGAATTTCCAAATATCTGAAAGTACTTTCAAAAATTAAAGGATACGTAATACTGGACGCATTTATAATTTGGGGAAATTTCACTTTTTTTTTTCCAAGTTATGTAAATAATAAAGCCGCGAGGGCTATCGAGACATTTCCAATCAACATTTCATACTACAAAACTTGTTTGTATACGCTTAATTACTATTACATAACCTAGAAAGTACCTGTAAAACTGGACTGACACCAGGTGGCAAAGAGCGTGGTACCCACGCTAAGGTGGCTGGTACACCAGCGCGTAGTCGCGGTATTCCTAAATACACTCTATCCCATCCGATCTCCAAGCCGGTGGGGACGGTGTTTTCCGGCTGAAACTTCTCCAACAGCACTGGGTCTGGTGGGAAGTCGAATTGCAGGAAACTCCATTGGTTCACTACTTCGAGTGAAGCGCTCGCCGCCGCGATGCAGGCGAATGCTAATATTGATCGGGACCACATCTTTATCTGTGAAAGACAAAATTAAAACATATACGTATATACTTTCAAAGCGTTGATTTAGATTATGTTAACACTTATCATGTATTCCATAGATAAAACTATATCTTGAACTATCCAATACATACAACTTCGAAGCATTAACTAAAACAGAATGTTAGCGATTTCTGTATAATATAATTATATTAATTATAAATAGCGTATCTCTCTCTGCTGATTCGTGATGCTGCTGACCACGTTGTGGCACATTACTGCACTGCTGCTTCCATCTCTGACAATCTCTAGCTAGGTGAAAGGCGAGACCGTGGTGTCCAGGGTTTATGATACGTGGTCGGTCCATCGTGTTGGGCTGCACCCCTTGGTCTTTTTTCCTACATTTTCCCGCTTATTATAAGATTTTCAAGGTTGTTACATTTTTATGTTTACGGGCAATGTGGCCAAAATATTGCAACATTCTCCGAAAATTAATACTTGAATGCCTCTTGGTAAAAGTTAATATTTAAGTAAATTAAACTACTATTCAAAAAATTATACGAGACAAGAATCGTATAACACTATGAATATAGTCAATTCAACTTTACGAAGAAGAGTTTAAGTCGTAGGAAATTTGTAATAACAAGCACTAATGCAAGAACAATGCAGGTAATTTAAATGTCAACAAGTCTATTTTATCTGTCAGCTTGTCAACGGTTGAGCAAAACGCAATATAATGACGTATATACGCAAGTAATTTACGATCGTAATTTAATTTAAGTATGCAGTTTTTGTGCAGTGGAGTTTAGCTAAGTTATGCACCAGTTTCAACGAATTTTATCGTAATTGCTATGATAAATTGCTTGTTTTTTTCTATGATAAAGTACGGCAGCATTTGTATGAGGATGCATACAATTGTTAACCTAAGTTTTATTAGGTCAATAAGTGTTTTGACCTAAACGACGAACGAATGACCATGACATGACAATTAACATGGAGTGCGAACAGCTAACGTATATTGAGAATAACATTCGTATAAAATAAATACGAATTCTTGACGCAACAAAAAGGTAACGGATACTGTTGTTAAATATATATATAATGTTGTTTTTGGCAAAATATTTTGGTAATTAATGATTTATCGCATCAATCGACTATGTAATGATTTTTGCCCTATGTAATTTGTTGTTTGTTTCAATTGTCTTTTATTTTTCAACTGTAATTCGCTATGTTTCTAGACATTGTCTCGATATCTTTATATCTTGTCTGCGTATGATTGTAATTAAACGTATTTTGATGAAATTGTGTGTTCCAATGGATTCGAGAATCTAAAATTTACAATTATAGTCCCACCAACTTATCTGTGAACTGAGTGGTAGCGCCACCGTCGCTTTAGTGTTGCAAATTAATAAAAGTTACCCATGATTGGGTATGTCAGATAAGAAACTAGGTAAACATATAAACATAATTTTATTATTTTAAACAATACCTAACATTGTTTTATAATAATAAAATGGTAATAAAAGTACTAAATAGTCTTCAAAAATAAGAAAATTAATGTAGGTAGATACATACATTAGCTCAGATTATTCCAGCGTTATTTTTACGTGACGAGAACTATAGGTAGTTGAATCACTCAGCTATATATCTTTTAGTTACAATTACGTTAAAAAGTAATCAATGAAAAAAATATCGGGTAATTTACAAAAAGAAAGTAGACAACACTAACCTGTAGCTGCCGAAATTCAACATGGCGGCCATGGTTCCCATTTTCTCCATTTCACAGATAAGTTGGTGGGTCTGTACATGATATTTTTTACAAGACAATGTCTGTCAGGTATGAGATATATAAATAGCAATCATTCGATTTATTAAAGTCATTGAGTGACATTTATCTAATATTGATATGTTAGAATTCAATCGCAGACAATAATGCAGAAATTGCCGGTTATTCGTTGCCGTAGGGAATTGCACCCATTCTTGCACTTAAGTACTCCAAGGCCGTACAATCACCTAGTTTGTAGTTATCTATTGTAGGTGGGAAGTAGAATTTAAAGTTTATATTTTCGTAATAAAAACACTTCCTGAAATGTTCATCTATCTTAAGCTGGTGTACCAATACATATACAACATATACAATATACATAATATACAAGACTAATTAAACTACCGAAAAACCAGTCCTCATATTAAGTAAGAATGCTGTTCATGTTTTTTTTTATTACTTTTAATTACGTACAAGGAAATAAGAAGCTTATTAAGATCCGGAAATAATAAAAATTATATTTGAAAGCATTGGTATTGACATTATTTTTTTAGGAAACTCGGTAAGTAAGTTTTTTCTATTGATCCATTTTAGGGTTGCCTGGAAGAAATCGCTTGACGGGCGGCCTTAGCGATAAGGCCGCCCGTTGCCTAATAACTTATGTAATCTACTTACTTTTTGTTTTTTTTTCTATATGTATAATGAAGTGTAAATACATAAATAAATAAGATTAGATTTGTGACTATAGAAATGCTTGAAGGGAAACCAAACCCAATTAACAATTGTTTGTCTGATAGGTTTACGTGATATTCAGTTTACTTGCACACAATTCTTGACAAATTATCTATCAGTATTAACGTTATTAAAAACGTCTATATTCGATGAGAAAAGAGACCCTTCCGAGCAGATATTTACAATTTTTAATTTCACGCGGTAATATAGCTCTTGGAACTAGTAATTAAACTCAGACCACCTAGTTTTTATAATATTACGACAGCAATATTTTACGCGCACTTTAAAGTCCTTATATGTCGGCTATAAAACCTAATGATACCTTTCCGTTCTCACAAAAAAACTAATTGCTGGCGTACTGTCTTACATATCTCTTTTTAGTCTAAGGTATGGCAGGAGGTACACTAACTATGCTTTAGTGTCATCACATTTTCGTATACGATAATTTAAGTTTACTCCCAAAATGGTTTTTTTTATGGCAATAGTTTTTTACGAAAAAAATGGTTCTTTAAAGATTATCAATGAAACATTCCATCGAATATCAGTTACGTTAAATAAACCGAATGAGTCATGTTTAAAATACGGATATAGTTAGACACGATTTTATTAAGAATTGTACCTAATCGAAACTAATATTCTATATTAGCGAATTTAGTAGCATCAAATTTCAAAGCCTTTATTTCAACTTATACAAGAAAGTTTCGAAAAAATAGTACGTAGTACCAAAAAAAGCTCTATGAGGGGTTTTTGTTGCGCGGGTGTTTTTTTGGGGGGGTTGTTTTTGGGGGGAAAAGGCCTCCCCCGGCTGGTTGTGGGGCGTAGAATTTAGTAGATAGGTACTATTAAAAATAGTGCGGCGGCCAAGCGATTTTCATTCCCTAAAAACTAACCATGCTTAATCTCTATTCTCTCATTCTTATCCTCTTATATATCCGTCAGGATATTTAAAAGAATTTAAAAAACTTTAAAAACATATTTTTCAAAAGGATTTATTTAATTTATCAGCGAGCTTTCAAAGGTTACATTGTTTTAAAAACAAAAATAAGGTCTTGTCAATATGCCCTTTCATTTTTAATTTGGTTATCTTATCGGCTGTCCTAAAAATAGCAATACGTGCACATAATGGCCATTATGGATAATACAAAAAAATTGTTTACACTGTAATGCCTAGCAGATAAGTTGTATATATATAACAGCCTTCACACTGATTTAAATGGAACAGTTTCATGAATAAAACGTTGACGAAAACGATAAGTAAGCATTATATTATGCTTTATTCTCATGTATTGTGTATGTATTTCAAACCGTCATACATCAATAACCGAAAAGTTTTTATATTAATATATTAGTTTGTTAGTTTATTCTGTAGATTTTACTTAAAAGTCGTGGTATTGGGTCTTATTATATATATATATATATATATATAGGTATATTGGGTAAAACAATTATGTTGCGCTCAAAGACAACCAAAGTTTTACTACAACAGAAATGAGTTTTATTATCTCGATTTAATATAGTTTTTACTAAACTTATTATTATTAAAATGCTTCGAACAATTTCCTGTAATTGCATGTTTATTTGACCGATATCAGTAACATTTTTCTGCCTTGATCGATTAATTAATCTAATTACATCAAACCTGAGGTAATTTCTACACGCAATACTTAATGTGGCGTTAATAATTATTAGTTCATTACACACAATGTTTGGTAATCCATACTTTTTAATTCCTGTTATCCCCAGTTCGGGGTTAAGCAGTTTATGTATTTTTATGCAAGCTTTAACTGGGTGGAAGTCGGTGATTCTCTTTTTGATAGTCACAAACTAAAAAAAATATCTGCCGTACTACCCCTTGTTGGTGTCTCTCGGCACTTAACTCCAACGAGCAAATTACTAGCCCACTCTTTTGCCTCCTGTCTCTTGGCTCTTAAGGAATCTAGGACTATAGGATGCGTGTATTAAATTGGAGGGAGATCGAGCTTGCTTTCTAGAGCGATATCAGGAACTTGCTCACCCTTATAATGCATTATTGAGAAAACATAGGTTATTTATATTCCCAAAATATTAAAAAAAACATGTCTGGCCGAGTGAAGTCGGAACAGGCTGCTATTAGCGGATAAACCCACATCTGTGTCTTATTTAAACACTTTTAATTATGATTAAGCCGGATATCCTGGATTTTGACTGATATAGTTTGACAAGGCAAAACGAATATTGAAGAAATCAGTTACTACAACACAAATTCTCCTAAATTATTAATATTTGACTAACTAGCAACAAATAATGATTAACATAATCGTAGACAATCAATCTTGAATCTATTATTTTTAGCTCAGTAAACGACTATACATAACATAATAATTACCCTGTTTACATAATTGCTGTCAAACCGCATGATTTATTATGGTCCATTAGGTTGTTTGACGTATATTTTCCATAAAGACTTTGATATTTTTGGATTGATTTGAATTATTAGGATAATAGAACTGTTAAATTGTCAATAGTAACAAAATTATTATACAACATTAGTTTG